TTTATTTATTTATTTATTTATTTATTTGCATTGCTGGGGATTGAACCCAGATCCTTGCACACATTAGGCAGGCACTCGGCAACTGAGCTACACCCCCAGTGTTTAGTACCTTTTTTGTGTTAGTTGATTTTTTTAAAAAAAGATATCTTTATTATATTTACTTATTTTTATGTAGTGCCGAGGATCAAACCCAGTGCCTCACGTGTGTGAGGCAAGCAGTCTGCCACTGAGCCACAACCCGAGCCCTGATTTTTTTTTTTTTTAGTGACATGTTTTTATTCCCTTTTTACTTCCTTTTTTGTACACTCCACAGATATTTTCCTTGTGGCTACCATGGAGATTACACATGGCATCCTAAAATTATGACAATGTAGTTTAAACTGATACCAGCTGAAATTGCATAAATAGATGCTTAAGGGAATTCTAGAAGGAGAAGAAAAACAAAAGTGTTGAAAAAATAAAGACTGAAAACTGCAAATTTGAGTAAATACATGGCTCTACAAAAGTCTACTTCTTGGTAGCTCTGCCTCCCTTTATGCTACTGATGTCACAAATTGCATCTTTCTATATTGCCCTATATCCATTTACATAAGTTTTATAAATTTTTACGTTTGTCTTCTAAATTCTACAGAAGGTAAAAGGTAGAATTACAAATCAAAATTATAATGACACTGGTTTTTATGTTCGTTCATGTATTTACCCTTACTAGAGAATCTTTATATTTTTCTGTTGCTTCAAATTGCTAACATTATTCCATTTCAACTTGAAATATTCCCTAGCATTCCTTGTAAGGCAGGTCTATGGAAGATGAACCCCCTCAGCTTTCATTTATCTGGAGATATCTTAATTTCTGCCTCATTTTTGAAGGACAGTTTTGTGGGATATAGAATTCTCAGTTGTTGGTTTTTCTTTCTTTTCTTTTTTTTTTTTTTTTGTCTTCCCACTGCCTTCCAGTCTTCAAAGCGTCCCCTGAATAAATCACTGATCATCTTTATCTTTGACAAGTTACATTTCTTTTGGTGTTCAAGATTCTCTCTATCTTTAGTTTCCAGTGGCTTGATTATAATGTGGGTCAATGTGGAACTCTTTAAATYTATCCTATTTGGAATTCACTGAGGTTCTTGGATTTGTAGAGACATGTATTTACTCAAATTTGCAGTTTTCAGTCTTTAATTTTTCAATAATCTCTTTATACTTTTGTTTTTCTTCTCCTTCTGGAATTCCTTTGAGGCATATATTTACCTACTTGATAGGGCCCCACAAATCAATGTCCTGGGATCCATTCACTGTCTTCAAGTTTTCTGCTTCTTTTTTCTGTCTTTTCTAGCCTGCTGTTGAAAAAAATCTATTGATTTTTTTTTTCAATTAATTTTTTTTTGTGTTTTTCAGATCTAAAATTTATTTCTTTTTTTATAATCTCAATCTCTTTTTCAATATTCTCATTTCGCTCAAATACTGTTTTCTTAATTTACTTTTATTTTGTTTTAGTACTGGTAATTAAAAACAGGGATGCTCTACCACTGAACACGTGACCACTGAACACGTCTTCAGCCCTTTAATCTTTTGTTTTGAGACACTGGCCTCAAACTTTTGATTCTTCTGCCTCAGACTCCCAAGTAGCTGAGATTAGATCTTTTTGCATATAGGTATGTGCTATCACACCTAACTATCTGTAGTTTATTTTTTGTTTTGTTTTGTTTTATTTTGTTTTCTGTACTGGGGATTGAACCAGGAGTGCTTAACTACTGAGCCTCATCTCTAGCCCYTTCTATTTTTTAATTTTCAGGTAGGGTCTCACTAAGTTGCTGAGGCTGGCCTTGAACTTGCAATCCTTCTGCCTCAGCCTCTTGAGTCCCTGGGATTACAAACATGTGCCACCACACCCAGCTTGCTTTCATTCTTTGAATATACTTTCCTTTAGCTCTTTAAGCATATTTAA